ATTTATTTTATTTTATTATGTCATCATAAACTATGGTGTCCAAAACACATTATTTACTGAACCTTCATCCCAGGCCATCTCCACCACTGAATGAAAGGTCTGGGATCGAGGTTGGATTTAAGAGCACTACATGCATCAAGTAACAACCCTAATCTGCCCCTAACCCATCTGTCACAAATCCAAATCCGTCAGACTTTGAAAGCATTGATTACAGATTGTTGGAAAGTGTTTTTGAAGTGTAGTTGTCATAGGTCCAACATTGATATTACTCCCTTTTAAAAGACGTGATTTGTTTGTTAATGGCAAAAAAAAAACTACTCTTACGATAATTCTGAGCTATATTAGCTAAAATTTTACCGTTTAATGTCATAGAAAAAAAAGAAAAGAAAAATTATATTTATCAAAATATTATTTAGTTCTACAACAATTTTTCTTATGCTGATGAAATGACTTTAGATGTTTKCTTAATGTTCAGGTGCGGGCAATACGACTTCCTTATCGCCTTTTCGTGCGTTGTGAAGAGAATCTGCTCGCAGGTTCAAATTACGTTACACAACTTTGCCGAATTTTAACTAAAACGTGCTTACAGAAATTGTCGTGCACACTGCAATGTCTACGCTGTGAATAAATAATTTTGATAATTTAGCAGCGCAATGAATTTGACCCAATTTAGCAAATCCATAATCTATTATTATAGAAGCAGTCAAGGACAAGTTTGGTTTCAGTAGAGAAGGGTTTGTAAGGACTTTGAGCTCATCCAATAAATTCATCAGGAAGCAGTATGCGTGCGTTCGTGCGTGCGTTCGTGCGTGCGTGGTGAGTGCGTTCGAAACACATTCGTGACTCACAAGACGATTCCTTATTATTCATTGACTTTTACAACTCACAGTCATTGACGTAATCAGACAGACATGTGAGTATGATAGAAACGGACTCTGAAATGCATACCAGGTTCAAGCTCTAGATCGTCCTAAGGAAAACATAATCTCCCAGTTTTGAAAACATTGGTTAAGTTATTTGCAAGGAAATATAAAATGCTCACACCATTTACAAAAAATCGGATTTTTTTGATTTGTTTAAAGGCTACAACGCTTCACAATTTAAGTCTGTACTGAGCGCCTCTGTGTACCTAAAATGACACAATCACTTAAACCAGGAGCCCATTACTGCTCCTGCTTAAACCACAATAGCCAATTCCTTATGTGTAGCGACGCCATTTTGAACAGTAAGCGTGATGTCAGTGTAGTCTTTGCACTTTTGAAGCCACTCAAAATTATCTGTAAAATCTATTTTTATGTTTTCTTTGTAGAAACGGAACAGCTATCTTCCATTTTCGCAAAGGAAAAGCAAAAAAGACGTAGGAGGACTGTTTGAGCGGCCATGAAAATGTGCGTTAACTACAAATCCCATCATGCTTTGCTGTACAAAATGGCGCTCTTCGCAATTGCCTATTGTCCTCGAATTTATACTGCAAATCGTCCGTCTATTTCAAGCGTGACTTGTTCCCAGTACTGGTGAAGTTCCCAGTACTGGTGAAGGCACGAGAAGACTTATATCACATATGCGCATGCGCCGTGCGATTACTACATTTCCTGGAAAACAACTGGCGTTTTTGTAGCGACAAATAAGGTTTTTGAGGGGCATAAAATCCCAATCTCAATAAAATATGTTCATCAGTAATTTTTTTATTTATACTTCGTTCACTATTTGCTATATAAATATATTTATTTTGCTAGTACATTTGATCTCTCTTGTGCTTTCATACAATGTTGGATTTTTTATACGATAAAAATAAATACTGCGCACAAAGAGTAAAACRGCTGTACATAAAGTAAGTCRTTTTTTACGCGATGACATACAACAAGCTCTCGAAATCATCTGGAACATAGCATCATCAAACAAGCCTTTCTCTTCTGGATTACCGCCATTCAACTTGTCCTTACCAGTCAATGGAAGAAATATCGAATCTCTCGATCAATATTTCTTGTGTCGAAATATTTGGGTATATCTAGATCTAAACAATAATATAAAATACCATTAGCACAATTAAAATGTTATGATATTAGGATTGTTCTTTAATAGGGTGTATGATTTTAGCTGAATGTGGTGGGTTGACTGCTAGAATGGTCAGTCWGTTRGTTGGTCGGTTTACAGACTCRTTAACAGCCTACTCTTTTCTCGGTCTTCCTGTTAAAAGGGTAGGATTCGAAGCAGACCAATTGACAAGTTTTTTATCGGTGTCTTATTGGTTGGTTGGGCTCCGGTTTCTAAAAGTCTGATAAGTTTCTAATTAAGTCTTAACAACTTAATCAAAGTCTAATGGGTAATTTAACGCGAGCGAGACACGGAACAAATCGTTATCTAAGGGAAAAAACCCGAATTTCAGAAGACACCAATTTTCGTTTTAACAGTATGAAGAAAAAATCTCATAAAAGCATTAAGTCATTGAGAGTATATATGGTGTTTAATTTTGGTAAGCTAGCGCGGAAAAAGTTTGAATGAAAACCTGGACAGACATTTTCATGGCGMCGCTAAGCTTCCCTTTTACTGTACCGGAAAATGCGTTCACTAACAACAAAGTCAACGAATCTCTCCGTGAAGACCTCACGCCCAATGAATATCCCAGTCTTAAGACTATAAACTCATTTCATTTGAATAAATTAAGTTATCGTATGTATTCTTTCATAGCTCCTTATGAAAAAGGGTTGAGAAAGGGTTAAAACTCGTCCCATTGAGGCAGTATCACGTAACCCATGATTCACTTGACTTACTTTCGTCATTACTCTGTTGGTAATGTTCTTGTTCAGTAAGTGGTTTTTTCGTCCCTTGTATAACTACTTTACCATCATTGGTAATCATAAGTTTAGARGAGGAACCTTTTGTTGGCACTCTGCGCACCATTCTTCTTCTGTATATTCGGCTGCCCCGGAAATTTGAACCGTCGCTAAAATTGCTAAGCAAAAGTACTATCAGTAAAAATACTGCTATGTTTCGTTGTAAATGTAGGATTTCCATTCCGACTCATGTGCACTGTGAGTCCCAGAGCTTACTTGTGATGCTTATATAAAGACCACAGCGGTGGCGTTAGGAGGGGTGTTTAACTTGTTCGGAAGTGAGCACCCTAGCATAGTTGACACGCTAGTTATACAAGGGAAATTTGAACCTTGCATGAATAAAGCCACTCTAGTAACAGGACCACGTTTCGGAAACAACAGTCAAATTGTTTCCACACGCGGACGCTAAATTTATGAAAACCTTTCTGTGAAGTATAATAGGAAGTYTAATTTGAAAAGCGTTCTTCCGAGGAGAGAGAGGCCAGTATTTTTAAAGATTTTAACTTTTTGTTTTCAAACAATATTCTGACGCCAATGCAGCTTAAACAAAATAAGGTAACAACTCAGGGTACAAGAACCCATTAAGCCGGAGGACTTCCCGAAATGCAAGTCATAGCGAATTGTTGTAATTACTAAACAAAGAAAGAGAACCGAGCCATTTTTGATTGATATTTTGTTTCTATGATTGGTGACTTTCATGGAAAATGGGGGCCCCCGCTATCCTCCATTAGCGTCCACTGAGAATTCTCCKATTGGTGCTCACGAGAAATGTTAAATTGATAAAGTTTCTGATCAGGACATCAAAGCAGCTCAGTGACAGCTATCAATCTCTTGTAATTCATGTCTTTACAGCTGAATTGATCGGTTAAAGACTAGAGAACATGTGCAAAATGTGGCGTGCCTGCACCTCCTACGCGTCCGCAATAATAAACTGATGACGACTATCACAATGACAAATATTTAGTAGTTTACATTTTCATATGTACCAAAACATGCATTAAAGATAGCGTCAATACTGTAATTAATCTATTTATTCTCACAAACGTTTGTCGCCGTACATTGCCATTAGATAGTCAAGAGCTTAAAAGGAWCAAAATTCGTTTGATTTCCCGATTGTTTTGAAAACTAAAWTTAACCAAAGCAAAGTGGGGAACGACTTTTCTAGACGGTTCGTTACTCAAACTTGTTTTAATTGAAGATTAAACTTTTACTTACAAATTCCAATGCTCTTTCTGGTTTGCCTTGATTATTTCTGTTTCGGTACGACTGTACTGCGAATCAGTTCAAAAGATTACCGACATAGCAGGCAAAATTTAAGGTGCACTGGGAGCATCTTTTATTCGCATTTCCGGAATGGAAAAGACAAGAATGGTCTCTTCGTAGCCAAATAATTCCATTCATTCTACTCGTGAGAATGCAGAATTGATTTCTTGTATTCAACTAAATCTCAKAAAATGCGCTCAGTACCTGAGTAGAGTCTTAAAAGAGACAAAAAGATGAAAAAAGGAGGTAAAATATGCATAAATTGATAAGTCAAGATGTTATATTCAAGTATCAAGTACAAGATTTCAAATTATAACACAGATTAAAGGTTGTAAACTGACAATGCAGGTCCCTTTTCCCTTTCATAATGGGAAACTGTGAACAAAATAGAAAAAAACGCTCTAGAAATCGTGGACTTTTACCTTAAAACATGGCATTTAAAGTAAAGCAAAGCTTGCCTGATTGTAACTGTTTATTTTAGAAACTTAAGCAACTTTTGTCTTCATAGTATTAAACAATCAATGGCTATTTATATACACTTTTTTAAACCACTTGTATAAAAAAAATTAAATGTTTTTTATTCTTTCAATTTTTTTGGTAGGTTTAATGGAATGATATAATTATGGACGAGGAGCTATGACGTCCATCTCAGTTAAAGCATCATAACATCTGTTATAGGCGAGGGTAGTTTCTTTGTATGTGTTCTGATGCTCAATTAATTTTGGTATTATGTTCATGTTAACTAATTTTTTTTCTTGAAAGTTCGGACGTGATGAATTATGAGTTATATTGAGCGTTCAGTACAAGAAGAAAGGCTAAAAATCACTAAGATTCGGTGGGCGTTTAAAACAATGCCCATTGTTAACCCACATCCGAATAAAATACTTCAACTTTGAATAGAAGCTATCAAGTGAATAGATCGAGTATTGCACAACACTTGAAATGACAATGCTAGAATATTAACACTTCCTCTATTAATGATAGAAGTATTAGATTTAGTTCTTGTCCGGCCTAACTTGGTACTTGTGATAAAAATACAAGGTTAAAAACACTTGACAGCAGTCTTTAAATATAAGGTAGACGTCCAACCAGCACATCAAGGAAACCGAGGTTCTACGTTTTCTTAAAAAAAGAGACACCACTTTGCAATATGATGAAAAACTAACGGAATATTTAATTGTATTGGTCGAAAAGTAGAATTTCGAAATATAAAAAAAAGTAAAAAAGATGAAGAATAAAATTCAGGTCAAAAAAGAAAGAWATTGAAAATGCTACTGTTTTCTTGTACGTTATCTTGTAATCCAATTATCTTTTCATAGTATCAATCTAATTATTGTCAACAAAATGAAAAAAAAATCCAGTCAAGTGACATGTATAGAATATCCAGCATACGGCTTTAGATCTGGCTGGTTGCGATCCGCTTTGCRTCAGTAMATTTCTTACCCTTGGCGTGCGAAAACGAAATGGTGGAATACATTTCTAACTTTTAATTTCTTTTCTTGGTGCATTACTTCATTTCTTCAATCCTTCTCTTGTTATTCAAAAGTCAAAGTATAGGCGGCCATGTTTGTGGGTGATCTATCGATGCTTATTAGAAATCTTTTTTTTTTAATACCAACCGATGTCTGCGCTGCCTGGCTTCAACAAAGAGTCAGCAATAGCGGCCTATAAACTAGGAGTTCCGTCTGGTATCTATTCAAATTTTTAACCACTGGCTGGATTTGGCTCCAGGAGAAAAAAACTTGACGACAATAGAGCAAAGGAACGTCCCCTCTTCCTAATCCTGCAGGGCCTGGTAGCCAGTGACAATATGGCCGATAATATTCTCGAAGCAAGTAATTCTCAGTGGTCATCATACAACAGGTTTTCGTTTTATCCTTTTGACAGATAAAGATAAACACTTTCTYAAATAAATGTTTCTATAGTCAATTTTACCAAATAATAGAAATCCTCGTGATCATAAAATGTTTCGATCTCGTTTAATGCTCGTGGAGTACAAAAGGAAGGGAGAAAGAACATTTTTACTCTTTTTTCAAAGATGACTGTGAATTTCCGCGCGAAACTTTGAACCAGCTGCGCAATCTTGTTTCCAGGTCTTTTTTCCTTCGCTTTYGGGTGGAGAAGTCCTGGGATCGAGAGTGGTATGCACTGACTGGGTACAAGTCTGGTCTGTCAAAAGCTAATGCCCAATCAGTTATCCATGAAATGATTAATTTTTTGGCAATAATTTTTATAGGATCTCTTTTCAAATTCTAGGCAAAAAATTGCCATTAAAACGTATCGGAATTTTGACAATTTGATGTTAGATATTTAAAAAAAAATCAAAATAATGTACCTGGCGATGATTTAAAGGGACACTGTCAATGGATGACATGCGCGAGTAAACTTGAAAACAATAGGCTAGTGTTTTCAAGTTTATGACTCCAAGTTGGCGCGACATAAATCAGATCGTAAACGTAAACAGATCTAGAATATTCCAAAGTGTGTCAAAAGCACCACAAAATGATTTACCTCGAAGGTCATACTTTCAAAGTCCGTTAGAGGTGAGACTGTTACTGCGCATGTCATCCATTGACAGTGTCCCTTTAATTATTGTCTGAACTCAACGAGATTTAATCTAGTTTCCATAGTAACAGCGTTCGTTGCTAATCTCTTCTCAGGGTATTGAGCTAGMCCTAGGCCCCTTGTGCGCATCTCGAAATGACGTCACGACTTGCTTGTATGAGGAAACAAACACCCTGCTGAAGATATTGGCGGGACGGAGCAATCAGTCCTCACATTACAATAAATCACAGGTAAGACTTAAGAACATCGAAATTCGAGGAACTTATTSCGTTGTTGATAATACAAATACCCAAAACCCATGTAATAAATCAAGTAGTGAAAGAAGAAAAGAACATTCCATAAAACGATCGTTTCTACCTTTGTATATTGTAATATTGTTGTTATGGAGCCAGCTATAAGTAACGCTCTCATTCCATGGACTTTATCGAGCTACAAAAAAACTTACTTCATAATATTCCTATGCAAAAGCCTCGTCACAGAAATCTGTACAAATTGTCCACAGTATAATTTAAGTAACTTAGATATGTTTGTTTAATGCGGTAACATCAAGTCGATCCGATAAATGCGCCTCAAAATGCCTCTTTTTAATATCGTATGCACTGCTAGAGGGGCTACAGTCAATGCAAGTCCACATAATGATATATGTTGCAATCCTATGAAGTAAACACCTGGGAAATGTTTTAGTGAACTATGTCAATAATACCAAATACTTGACCTATCCATCAAACTACAGTTTTTATTGCTATGTTTGYTTTACTATGAGGAAGCTTAAAAATAGCTCAGGGTTGAGTATTATGTCAGCTTTATATTGTAATTTTTAAGATAAATATTCAGCTTCAGTTATTTTGGTCTTGGTGGACACATGGAGGTATTTTAAYTATCAAAGCKTTCCCTGCCCCTACGTTTCATAATTTCGCATGGCAGAATGTATTTAGTTTTGTCAGRTTGTGATAACACCGTATGACCCAAAGTTAAATATAACTCATAGGCCAMCARTSAGGCCATACAACTGATTATAGATTTCCCTTTTTACACAACTGAGCCTGGTTAAACAATTAGTACTATGACGGCTAAATGTTTATTTACTCACATGTACTTACAACAATCTGAAAGCAAACGGTTTTGGTATGCAGATATTAAATTACTGAATCACGTTAGCAAACATTATACTCACTCTCTTGTGATTAAACGGTTGTACTGCTGAATTTATTCTTCTGTATATGATATACATTTGTGCGTTTAATCTATATGGTGCGATTTGATTTGATGAAGCCACGCCCAAAACTTAGCAGTTATRTCATGTGCGCAGAAATGGCAACTCATTCCTTTACATAARCATTAATTTCGCGACCAAAGAAAGTGCTTTAGCAGTTATTTGAAGTCCRGTGGAGATCAATCCCTTTTAAATGATGGTGCTGCTTAGATTTTCTGTCAAACTGAGAAGGAATACTACATTTCATGTAATGTTGGACGCTATAATTTCGTAACGCTGATTCAGGAATGTTGAGATATGTTTGTTCAGGGATWTGTGGGTCTCTAATCCATTAAGCTACTAATCTCAATTAAAGGTTTTTGTTATTCAAACCAGGAAAATAACCATCTTAAATGTATTAAAAACAAAACTTAATGGTCTAACAGTGATTTTATCGAATTCAAAATAGTGTATTCGTATTAAATGACGTGTSTTCAACCAAGAATAATATTTTGACAAGCGTTATTGTTATTCTTCGGACATATTCAAATTAGAACTTTGCTAGCTTGTTAGGCTACGCTCAGTCCTGAATAYTGACGGTATTAATTGCAAAACAGCAAGTGTCGGACAAATATTTAGTCCCGTAAAGTCGGTTTTCTCTRTACAAGAGATTTGTTTATGGCAATCTTAATTTGTGGAATCATTACAAATTAGCGTTGTTGATAACTTAGCTTGAATCTATCTTCCTGTCAGGGCATTGCAAAATAATCTTTTTCGAAGCCTCATTGTTGTTGTTTCCATTTGTTTCCCAGTTCGATGGAGACAAAAGTAGTCAAGGAAGCCTATGACAACGCAGGAAGTGATGTCACTAATGAAAAGTCCCAGTCCCCCGGAACTACCTCCTCTACAAACATGCAAATATGCGAGCCTAACGACAAGGGCGTGACGTCACTTACAAGCTCTACGGCCACCGTAGGCAGGGACAGGTTTGATTTTTTACCAGACGAGGTATACGAAACCAGTATGGTCACTCTGCAGTCGAGAAAAATGCGTCAAATGTCCGTCTTTCTGGTGTTTTTCGTGGTTATTTCATTAGTGATGACAAGTCTCTTTATCTGGCGAACTGTTTTCTTTGATAAACTACAAGCCACTGAAAAGTGCAACGGCAAATCCTGCAACACGGTATGTTTATATCTATGCCATTCAATGTATTTAAATACAGAATATATATATATTTATATGTTTTTAAAACAAGGACGTTATTTGCTAATTAAGTACCAATATGTTTTTACCATTTGAGTATTTTATGAAACCTAAAACAGCAAAAAACAGAAAGAAAATAAGGTGATAACAAAAAAAACTTCCATCGATTTCATGACCGAGATGGAAATCTTCAAAAGTCATAACTCGATCGTTCTTTGAAGAGGATTTGCTAATTGATATCGCATTGGATATCAAGTGGCATTTTAAATCTAATAACTGAATTTTCTGGGACTGTATCAGTGTACACAAAAAAGCAATGCCATTTAGACCTTGTGCGCAACTCCTATTTTCTAACACGCAAAGCGACCATAGACATTGAAAAGATTGAAACATTCTCAGTCCTGATATTTCAAGGCGTTTTCTCGCYATTGCTGTTAATTACTAACATACATGTTTGCTTTGGAAAAAAAGTGAGTTATATAAACGTGAATTCGTGGGTGTATCAGACTTGAGAGTTTCTTATTCTTCTTTAAAATGTCATTCTTATGATTGTTATTTTCTGTCATTGTTGATCATTCAGCTGACTTTAAATGGACTCGGCCTTTTGTAGGAGAAAAAAATCCTTTTAGATGCGGCAGTGGCAAATTGGGTGTCGTCTTCCGGATTTCTGATGAATTTGCTTTTTGCCATCAAACAGAGACTCCCGCTGTCAAATGGGTTATGAACGAAACTGTAATTTTAATAAAGACTTCATAAAGACTCTGATAGCTTTGCTGGGGTATAGGATGTTACATTGCGGGAATGAAACGGCTTTTTGAAGTCGCGCTTTAAGAACGAAAACATTTTATTATCTCATAATTCGTAATTAGAATCAGTAAACAATTAGTAAGTAATTTATTATTTAAGTTGGGCCGTGTTTGAAAGGCTTCTGATGAGCCAGTATATTGATAGTTAATGGTATTATTTGAGGCTTTGTTCATTCCCGATCGTAACCGTGCAATTACCGGAAAGTAGTTATCAATCACTATTCACACAGGTTGATCTAACCAGCACGACTTTACTGTAATTAAGGACTGGCAGTTTATTCTATTAAAATCCATTTCTTACAATCACGTGATTTTATGATATGAATTTGACAGGGATATCTAGTCTGTTAGTTAACATGAATTATACTTGGATGTTACCATTGGCGTGATCACAAGGACTCTCTAAGTCCAAAGTAAATGTGCTCTTGGATGACGGCTGACAATTTGAGCCAGCTACCAAACTTCACGACAACCCTCTCGTGAATTGATCAAGGGCTTGTCTTATTGCTCAAATATAGGTCGTTTAGAAAAACAACGATGACATGAAACACGTTTAAGTCAACTTTGATTCATTTGCATTGGACCAAAGTTTGTTTTTAACTTGAAGCTGTAAATGCAAAGCAATCAGCACTTCGTACCATTTTAGTTTCGTTTAGCAACAGGAAATCCCTTGCATAATGTCTTGTCGGCAAATAACATGGGCTTGACTTCTGAAAATAYCGAATTTGCACAAAATAGACAACATTTTGTCTTCTTTTTTCCKAAAAAATTCAATATTTAAGCTCCRTTTGTACAAGAAATAAAATTAGGTGAGATAAGTTTCTAGTGTTTCTGGTTTAATTAAGAAAGAGTTGTTCATCACAGTTTGTGGTTGAGTCAATAAAAAACAAAATACGTGTGTTTTTCGYTGATATTCGGTGTGATATATTGTTAGAAAAGTCTCGGCCTCGTTTAATGAACATTTCATATCCCAACCCTCTAAATTAAGTATCATTAAKGATTAGGAAGTGCAATAATAAAGACAGAATCATTAGCACCAACATAAAACTGTATGCAAAAATGAAAAATCTTTAGATGTTCATCAGGAAATGCAATGCCTCAAAATATCCTCTTCAAATCTTATAGATATTTTAAACTCAAAAGTATAAATCGATGYAGCTTACCATATAAAAAGAGCAATCAGTTAACAAAAAGGGGAACTGTGACTAGAGTAAAATCTCGAAGGATTCGAACGGATTGATATTAAGATGATTAAGATTGCTGAATGAGATAATCAATAATGGCATGGCGGGCCATAACAAGAAAACGAGAAATATATATATATGTAGTGTTGTATAAACTATGGTTATTGCTTTAGAGAATGTATAAGGTCGTCAACACGGAGCCATGCTAGTACAGTATTGGAGGCTTTGTTGATATGTTATGATGGTATTGTCAGAGTATAAGTGCCGGAATTATAAGGAATCTACCAAGTACTTTGTCCGTAGCGTAAATATCATTATCACATGCACTTTTCATTCAAAAGTCGAAAGGAAGGGAACAGTTTCATCATTCGAGTGGTTTCCTGAAAGCTTTATATTGCTCAACAAAACATCACATTTAAAATGGGGCTTAAGTTTTGCACGAAACTGCTTCAAATAACAAATYACAATAAAAACAACGCTTGGTGTATATCAGTATCGTTCGAATCATCAAATCCGTTAAATTGCAAGCGGTTAAGTGATATTTTAATGCAAGAGATGAAATCACTCCARAAAATAGATGAYATCTTTACATGCGTARTATAAAATGGAACATAAAAAAAATCACCGACCCACGGCCCTCCTACGYTTAGATATATTCTATCATTAGAGTCGTATGGTAAGTTGTATAAATGTGRTCAATAACCATCTGAACCCGACTTGTTTTATCCAATCCTTCGTTTAATAAAATATTACCAAGTCACGCAATGGCAGAAAAAATACTAAAGACTATGAYCCTCGGACAGGTGAATAGGTTACCATCACCACGAAGGCCATAGTTATATTTGATGACACGATATCTATTTTATATAAAACCTCTAATAATCGATATTGGCAAAGTGGTATATTTGTAGACCTCTAACGAATGTATCATGGGTAATTTCATGTGATTTTCGCTCTTTTCTCACTAAATAAYGACGGATTGCAAATCAATCAAGAATTTTCCAGTGGTGCTTATTAAGGGTTATTGTGGCATATTTCGCAATCTSATACCAAGTTGAATAGTGTAGTTTGAATTATCAGCTGCCCTATATTGATATTTCTTTTTAAAGTTACTGTCAAATATCTATATCTTAATACCTTTACTAGCATATTTCATTCCCACAAACATGGTTCTGCTGGTTCCAAATCGACTCTCCTTTAGTATTACTGATACGTTTCATCAAGTTTTAATTCGRTAAACCCGTGCGTACTGTATTTAGTGTTTCGTAATCACTTCATAGAGAGACTTAGTTGATAGAGACTAATAGTCTCATGCAATAGGGTAATAGTAATGAAGTACTCGCTATTAATTTGTGTAAACTTTACACAACACTGAATCATATTTTCCCAAGAATACATGTGTACATTCATTGGATGTTTTTTATTGTGCATTAGAGGACCAGGCATCAAAACTGACACGTGTCAATAGTATAAAATTTGCCACCATCCCATTTTTAAAGACCAGTTTGCAACATGTTTAGACCGCTATTACTACAGCTATCGATGCGTTACCCGGGGGGGTACTCGATCCCAATTTGGGTGGGGTGTGCCGCACGACCCTCAAAACAGTCCTTCGTGTCCTTGATAAATATATATCTCGTTTTAGGCTGAGACCAAGAAACCCGAGCCAAGACCGTGTCGACGCCATGGCAGGCCAAAGCAATTCCAAGAGCTACCGCAAACGATTGTGGACAAACTTAAATTTATCAAGGAGACGCTGGAAAATAATACGGTAGAGTGTATTCTTAGGGTTGATTGGGGTTATATAGCGTCAAACATGACTAAACTAAGAAAACTATTTGGATTTAGAGCTAGAAAACGAACTTGGAATTTCTTGGAATAATTCGGTGTTTCATGGTTTTCGAATGTCCATATTCCAGGTATCGTCTCTCGCCAATGTTGTTTACATGGATAAAGAGATCTGGAGAAGTTTTCATGGTAAAATTGATCCAGACGAAGAAAACGGTCGAAGTATTGATGAACATAGCCTGTATCCTGTTGCTAGTGTCAATAAASTACTAACGGTAAGGTTCGAAACAAACCGGCGGAACTTTCACCCGACAGTGACGTCATGGAAAAATTGAATGGAAAAATTGAATGGAAAAAAAGAAGAAAAAGAAAAACACTAGGGCTTGATTGCAGCAGGGTCGCCCTCTAATCTACAATATTTTGCTTTACAGTCTCTGATGACATTCAAGATGTACAAAGATCGAAAAATTGACACATTGGATGATGCTTTTTCTGATTACGAGCCCGATTTTAAAATCAAAAAGAAGTTTAAATCAGAGCGTAAAATTGTTATAAGGTATTTATCATGTCTTTTTTTATATAATGTTATCGCTGATTAATTATATTTATTCACAAACATTTCCACGTAAGTATATTAGAAACTTTCTGTTTGATTTCTTGTCAATGGTCATCATCCCAAGCCCACTCACTCATCCACAATACACTCAATTAGAAAGGCACACTCAGACGAGGCTTTCGCGCACATGGTGTTTTTACATTATTCTATTACCACAACCCAACATCTATTTCACCCCGACCTGCTCCCAGTCTGGCCTTGTAGCTCAGCTGGTAGAGCATCGGTGTACAAATACGAAGGTCGTGGGTTCGAATGCCAGCGAGGTCGGAAATTAACTTCTCACTATAACTTTCTTTCATTTCTATATCGTATCTATCATAGTGCCATGCGGTCCTCATATTCATATCTTTACTGGTGTTTTGCTGGTGTTTTGATAGTGAGTTATAAGCATGCGAACTCTCGCTACGAGGAAGAATATTTTGAGAAAAAAAAACTGTCCAGTTGTATGCATCTGTGGTGAATATGTCTGTGCTCATACAGTTCTTCTTTCCACGATTCTATTTCTTTATAGGCAGCTGTTATCACACATGTCGGGACTACCAAGAGAGGCACCTTGCTATCCAGACACCGAAACTAATATTTGTCCGTATAACAGAACTGAGATGTTAGACAGAATAGCAAAGATGTACCTTATATCAAAGCCAGGTCAAAAGCCCTCTTATAGGTAAGCACTATACTACATACTCGGGTTATTAGCTGTATTTTACGTCTCATCGACTACTAGTTGGTGTGGTCTTAAGTGCTCTGTATCGCCTGAGGATGCAACATTGTTTGTAAAGCAAGGSGCTTGGACTGAGGGTTCACACTTGTAGCATGCTGCATGGGAGGATTTTCGTTTGAACTGCTTACAAGAAGTTCTGTCATATTAAATTAATGAATTACAATGTCAGATTTATCCGTTAATAACATGAATCTTTCCCACCCTTTATTCATATTTCTAGTAACGTGGGGTTTGGTCTCCTTGGTCAAAGCCTTCCTCTTATGTACAACAATAAAACCTATGAAGATTGGATGACAGAATACCTTTTTAAACCTCTTGGCATGAACGACTCAGTTTTTAACCCATTATTTAGGTAACCATTACAGTTATTTATTAGGTGTTAAGTGGGGAATCCAGGTGGGGGGGGGGGGGGGGGGGGGGGGGGGCTATCTCAACTTGATAACGTAGACGTCTGCAAAGGACAGCCCGCCTTTACCACAATGTTATCAAGCGATATTGTGTGTTATCAAGCGATATTGTGACATCAATTGGAAGTTATGACTTTTGGATTATTAACATTGCTTAATTCACAATTTGCTTTCTAAAGCAATCGGACGGATGTCGTTATTGGTAAAGATATATTTGGTGCAAGAATGGAACCAAAGTCATGGGGCTGGTTAAATCCAACAGGAGGTGTTTTCACGTCCACATCTGACTTAGCACAGGTAAGGCTGCATGTACTACAGGTAAGATTGTACGTTGCCTTGTGTTAGGCTAATGGTTTTCCGTTCTACGTGTGTTCACAATGTTGTTACATGTTGCACCTTCTCGACTTTGGCATACACATTAGAATATCTTACTTTATTAGCTGTGCTCCATCAATCCATGGAATTGTGACAATATCTGGGTTTTTAGTGTAGATTAATAACCTTAATAAAATGATTTCAGATGTGGATCCATCTTTTCAAATCGTTAGACAAGGAAGACTATTTGTCACCAGTATACACAAACGAATTCTTTGCACCCGGTAAGCAACATGTTAGGATGTAGAAAATACAGTCAACTCCTGCCTTACGGACACCCCGCTATTACGGACACCTCGATATTACGGACACGAAATAATGAATTCCTGGCAAAAAAAAAATACAAAGAAATGACTGAAGGTAAATTACGGTCCCGAGGATGTCCGTAATAGCGAGAGTTGACAGAAGTTTGATTGATTTAGTCAGAACACACATTTGGTATGTATAGCTTATTTCAAATCTTATAGGCATTCAGTATTTAGCAAGATTTATAATGTATAATATAAAAAACTTTTATTTCAGCCTATCTATTTCCCGGTAAAGAAACAATTTAGCTTGTCGGGTCACCATTTAACGATATATAACATATAAATCCTTTATTTCAGCCTATCTATTTCCCGGTGAAGAAACAATTCAGCTTGTCGGGTCACCATTTGAGATGATCTTGAACAATGGCTATGTAGTACGATTCAAGAATGGTCAAATATATGGTTACCATGCAAATGTCTATGCAGTCCCAGAATTGAAACTAGGTATTATACATACTTGCATACCTCTAATGCAGATAAACCAGCCATTATAGAACCAAGATTCCACGATAAAAAATCTGTTTGTGACCCCCACTGATGAAGCTGCTCTCACATGTCAAACTCAAGAGCTCTGTATTAAAACGTTGTTGAGGTTGTTGTTGTCGCTGTTGTTGTTGTCGACGATGTTATTGATGATGATGTTGCTGTTGTTGCGGCTACTGTTTTTGTTTTCGCTGTTGATGTTGTCGTTCATGTTGTTGTTGCTGTGGTTTTTGATGTTGCTGTTGAGTTTGGGCAAGAATATCAGTATCATATTTTCTTTCAGCTTTTAACGTCTTAAACATTGGAAGACCTATTCCTACGTTTGCTTTGTTTGACGGCCTACTTACAGCTTTCAATAAGGTTCTCAATGGAAATAAGACAAAGGTAAATAKTTCGTTAAAATTATGAAATAATAATCAACCAAAACAACTGCTTATCCTCTGAGACCATTTTACAACTTGCCAAGCAACACTATAACGATGTTTCTCGTTTTATGCATGTCTCATTCAAGTTGCCACGCAAAGAAAAAAACTTTCAGGAACACTACTCACGTTGCCTCAATGCGAAGAATCAAGATGTAGGGGTTACGGAGGGAGGAAAACTTTCAGGAACAGTACTCACGTTGCCTCAATGCGAAGAATCAAGATGTAGGGGTGACGGAGGGGGGAGGGGGGAGGGGTGGAGGCAATATGACGGTTAGTTAGAAGCGAGAGGACAGATCTGTCTATTGATATCATTTTCTTTCTTTAGATCAAACTTCCAAAACATCCACATGCCTTCGTTGGTACATACGAACCTGAATTTGAAAACATGAGTGCTCCTGGTATCAGTGAAGTGAAAGTTAAACAAGTACACGAAGAACTCCGAATGATCATTAAACACTACAAAAACTTTATGTCCGTTCCCTTAAATTTTCTTTACAATAACACGTTTGAAATATGGGATCGTGAAGATAGAAATTGTTTAAATCTTTTCTTGAGAGGGCTGGACTCAGAAAAGGTGTACTTCGACGATATATCTAATAACACAGAATATCGATCCAATGGATTTAAGTTGCTTGGAATTCATCCTCGAGGATGGACGTACTTTAGAAGGATAAATTAAGACCTGAAATATACATCAAAAAGCTTCTGCTGTAAATATTTTTGATGTCAAGAGAAATGGGTCTTTCTCTGGATAATGTCAGTCAAGTTTATATACCTCCACTCCATGGTGAATTCATTCTAGTTTACCAATTCGTTCGATCAAATAGACGAAAGTCTTCATGTTTTCATAACATTTTCTCTTGACGTGAAACAACAAGAGCTGCTGGAGACCTGGAATATAACGACGTAGAAAAACAGCTTATATGGAATTGAATCGTACTAACTGCCAATAAACTGGAAGAATTATTTGGTGCATGGAGAAATCGATCTGCACGCTATTGAAAGTTCGCCCATGCAGGTTCTTATACAAATTAAGATTCAACCGCTTTAAACAGGGCATTASTTCACTATCATCAAATGTTACTGATTGTAGTTTAACTAGGTATATTTACTACTATGGGACCAATATCGCTGGACAATGCTCTTTTTTTAGAGTTCCCAGCACCATTTTGGAAAAAGTCAAATGAAATAGTTGTGAGGTTTCTACCTCTAGCTGCAAACTAATCGACTATCAACTCATTTTAGCACGGACGACACGACTATCTGGCGCTGGAAACCGTAATAAAAGAGACCTTCTTGGACTGGCTGTTTTCAAGCAATAATCAAAATTTTAGAACACTTAGAGAATGCAAGGGTGGTGACATTGATCGGTAACGCCCATTTTCACTGGTGAAGAAAGTGCTTACTCTCGAGTAAGAATTTACGAAACTCTGGAGGCGACTGAGGAAGCATGAAAGAATACCGTTCCGCTTCGTTCAACACTCTTTCTTCATCTACGCTAACTTTTTTGAAAATCATGTTTCATGGAGACTATTCTAAGTAACAATGTGCATTCTAAAAGTATTAATGCAATAATTATCATTCTCAATGTTGATACCAGTATTATGCTATAGTGAAAAGTTTTTAATATGAAATATCCTCTTTTTCACATAGCATAACTGAACATACCTTACAGATAAGGTGATCGTTGTAGGTGTAGAAGGTAGGGGATCTATGTGAGATCTGAATGGGAATCATTTGATAGTCTGTACATAGTTCATTTAGCTTTACCAGGGGCGCAAACAATGCTTGGGTTGAAGTTAGATAAATCGAAGTGATAATCGTTTGTTTTGGTTGGCGTGTTTTTTTGTTCGCTTTTTCACAAWAACAAACAAAAATTAGTTATTGTTTATTAGAAAACCTAACGTTTCCTTTTCCATAACGCACTTTGTACAACACAGCTTGTATTAAGTAACCAACCACATATTCCTTTTTTTTATCGCCGTAGACGATAGCCTTTTCATTTGGTTACAGAGTAGACAGAAAGCACTTGTTTGTGTTAKATGACTTACAGGTGTAACTAGTGTATTATATTATACATTTAACTCGTGCGCAGACGTAGACATCTGGTGTCATTTCTTTTTTTCTTACAGATTTGTGCCTTCTTCAATATCACATACAATAAGTATTCTGCCGAAAACCCAAAAATGCTTTTTGCAAACTGATGCTCCGGTTTTGGGGCGGTCGGGATGATTATATGAATCAAAGAGTAATTTATATTATGTGAATCGCACATGTATCTATTCAGGCATGATATCCAGATATTATAACTTAATATTAGCGAGAACATGTAACKTGATGCTTAAAGCTGTGTTTCCTTTGCAGATATTTTTTCATGGGTTACGTGTCGAGTCTTTCTCAGTGTAGTTTATCACATATTAATATTTTAGATAGCGGTAATATTTTGTATATATTTTGTGATTTAGCTTTTTCTCTTATTCAGGAATTGATTAAAGTGTTCACTTTTCTTTGATTGAGTTACTTTCAAATTATATTCTTATATTCTTGCAATAAAGAGCTGGTTCTGTGTGCA